TTATTTGAGCTTTGATGTTCCTGGTAATGCCCTTTGGCCTTCTGGAGCTCACGCGCTGGGCAGCCCAGAGGCACTGGTGGCAAACACTGCCCGGCACAGCAAGCAGGGGGTCCACAGCAACTGCCACTGTGGCACAGCCCCAACAGGTGAGCCCAGAGCCAGCACGGAGCCCAGGCTGACACTGGGGGCAGGTTACAAGCTGGTGCTGAGAGTAGGAAAAGCAGCCCCTCGCCTGCTCCATGGCTGGCACCCTGCACTGCAGCCACTCGCAGCCCGCCTGGGGCTGCCTGTGCCTGCTCAGGACAGCCCTGCACGGGCTGCAAGTGGCTGCAGCAGGGAGCGTGGGCCACCAGGCGGGGGAGGGGCTGCTTTTCCTACTCTCAGCACCAGCTTGTCCCCAGCTGGGGAGCAGGGGGTCGGGGCTGCACACTGCCCCCCACCTGTACTGCAGGGCTGGGGGGCACTGGGAGTGAGTGGGTGCACAGGGCCCACACTGGTGTCCCAGGGCCAGTGCCAGTGGGGCCCAGAGTGGGGTGGCAGGAGTACAGGGCCCTGGCTGGCAGGGGCTCTATGGAGCCAGGCCAGCTCCCCCCTCTCCTTGCTGGTGCAGCCCAGCCTGGCTCCACAGACCCCTGCCAGCCTGCACCCCACTCTGGGCCCCACTGGTGCTGGCCCTGGGACATTGGTTCCAGGATGATGACCAGTGGGCGGGGGCCCTGTCAAGGGGAGGGGCTACCCACGTGGCCCTTGACAGCTTGCTGAAACTGGGTAAGTGGCCCTCTGCCTGAAATAAATTGGGATATGATATATAAGGAATGTGCATCAGGAACTAGGAGAACATCTGTTCACCAGAGCACCCCAAGGAAAAACAAGGTCTAATGGTCACAAGCTGCTGGAAGACCATTTTAGTCTGGACATAAGGAAAAACTTGTTTACTGTCTGAGTCTCCAGAGTTTGGAATAGATTCCCTCCAGAAGTGGTGCAAGCACCTACTCTGGATACATTTAAGAAACACTTGGATGCTTCCAGCCTTCCAGCCCTAGGTCCCTTACAGCCCTAATGTCTATGAAATCTATGAAATGTATTGGAGTTCTCTATGCATGTAACATCAGGCAATACCAGAAGGGGAACATTTTCCACAAAAGGTTGCAGGAACAGTGACTGGCTCTGTCAGGGCGGGCAGCCTCCCTATTCCCAGCCTTCTTCTCCTCTCTCCTGCCTACTAGGGTGGGCAGACCATGCCACAGCATTTAGGGACTTTTTAAAGTCCACAAAGCAGGTAAAAATCCCCCCACCTCCCCTCCATGCTCAGAGGCATGTGTCCTCCCCTCCCCTTCCCACCCTTTTATGTCCGCCACTGCCTCCACTGTTCAGAGGGCAAGGGGAGCTCCAGAACTACTTCTGCCTAGCTCCAGCTGGACTGTGTGGAGGCCAGGCTCAGCCCAGGACAGTGGTGGCAGCAGGTGGGTTTCTCCCGCCCTGTGCCTGTTCTCAGGCTGGCAGGGAACACCTGGTGGGGAGGGGAAACTCACCTGCCCCTGTCCCAAGCTGAGCCCATGCCCTATACAGTCCAGCCGGAGCAGGCAGGAGTGGCTCTGGGGCCTCCCCCGCCCCCAGGACAGTGGCACCAATGGAGATGAGGAAAAATAGGAAGGGAACATGCTTCTGAGCACTGGGGGGAAAGAAGTGGGGAAATTCTTACTGCTGGAGGCTTGATGTGACCAGGCCACTGCTCTCTGTAATACAGCCCTGAGGTTGCTCACTGGAGGTTGCTCACCTAAAGGCTTATGCACCCAGAATCAGAGCTGACATTTTAAAAAACAAATTATTCTATAATATTTGATAATGCTAGGCATATTAATTTACATAGTATTCCTACATTACCTTTGTGAGTCTTGTTTACAAGAAGGAAAAATGTAATGTAAGAACAAGATGCACCAAACTGCATTTTTCAATGCAAATATTTGGCATGAAGAACTCAATGGTTTCTATCTATAAAACAGATTTTTATATCTGAAAGACAGAGAAATTTGACCTGTCTTCTTGAACTATATCAAACTGAGCAGGTTATTTAGTTGTTTACTTACAGCTCTATATCCCTTCTCAGGCGTTAGAGCTTCAGCAGCTAACAGATGAGCTTGTACAAGATTTCCAACATGAACCCAGTTCATCTGAGCATTGGGATTTCCAAACTTGAAGTTAAATAGCCTCCATTCAATATTCTTCTGCAGAAACACAATAATTAAATAATTTCAGGAAGGGAAATAAATTTAGGAGTTTACGGAAGTTAATGGCTGAGCGACTCATTATATTGGTTTCTGCCAAAAAATAAAAAGTAATGCTGTAGTTGCAATGGAAGCTGTTATGAAATTGTGCAGTCTGTTGTGGCTGGAAATCTGCGTGTTGTTTCCAGAACTCTCACAGAAAAATTATGGAAAAAACACCCAAACCACAAGTGGGACAACATTTTTCCCAGAATAACCATTCCATTTATGACCTCACAATTATGGTCCTTAAGGAAAACCTATGCACTACCTTCAGAAGATGGGCCTGGGAACAAAAATCATACTTTCACTGAACTCTGAAAACCAAGAACTTAACACACACAATGGCTTTATGGTTCATTAGAATTTTAAACAATTTATCTTTCTCCATTGTTCTTTACTTGGTCTGTAACTGCTTGTTAACTTCTCCTTGTTCCACAGATTTACTATTTCCCTTATATGACTACATTCATTTGTACATGTTAAACAAAAGTAATCATTAGACATGGTATTTAGCTTAGGCTATACCTGATCCATTCCCAGACCTGAGGACGGGCATTTTATACCTGAAAGATAGCCTAGCATTTCTGTCAACTACATAGCTTTTTTCATATCATGGGAATTTTATTACCATGAAATTAGTGGTACTAGTGTCTAGAGTATAGCTAGCTATTTCAGCTAATTATTTCCATTTCATCCACTTAATGAAGCCCATGAGAAAGATGGGAATAAAGATGTCAGCCTTCCAGTGGACAAAGCTGGACAGCTTTGAACTAAGATGTCATTACAAGATTTGGCTGAAAAAAACCCTAAAATAATGTGGGATAAGCAGTTATACAAGCTTAGCCTTTCCACCGCAGCAGGTTTCACTTAGGATTTCTCTCTCACACAAAAGGGCAGATTTTTTATTTTAATTCTCTCTCCAACTATGTTATCTGTTACCCTGTATTATGTGTTCAGTCACCAAGCCCAAGATTCACATATGGCAGTGCTGAGTATTCCCGTGCCTAAAAGTAAGGCAGTGATGTCGCTGTAACTATGATGCTGTAGGAAACAGGCAAAAAGTAAGAGTTGTTTGGGTAATATATTTTACTGGAGCAATTATAGATTTGGGAGAGATATTAGATCAAAGTTAGCTGATACTTAGGTGTCTGGCTTTAAGAACATTATTTAAAAACTCATGTGCCAGAGGGTATATATGCAGACTCCCTGACACTCTTGAGATCATTGCCAGAAAGCCAACTTGCCTCCTTCCTCAGTTTCAGATTTTGAGATTGCAGTAGGAGGGCTGATTTGTCTTTCCCAGCTACCACTCTGCGTTGGAGCCTCCTGAACATATTACCTCTGTGGAGCAGTTGGATGTTAGCTCAACATGTGTTAGGTAATGTGATCTGGAGAAGTCCTACCGTTGCTATGTTATAATGCCAACATCTGAAAATCTCAAAATCTGAAACTGAGGCAATGAGGGTGCTTTGCAAACATGTGTCACTATGGGTTTCTGGCATGTTTGAATGTGATGGTAGGGGATCCTTGACGGTATTCTCACCACCTCAATTATGTGTTTGAAGCAGAGTAGGAACGGGTCTCTTTTTGGCAGTTAACTTGACAGCTGTACAGAGGACCTCATTGATAGGGGCTACCCAGCTCAAGGAGGCAGGTGGCTGATATCATGGGGAGATCACAGGGCTGGCTGCCATTTTTGCGGGCTGATTGCAGTGGGGCCCCCACATGCTTCTGATTGGCTCAGAACTCAATTTTTTTCCTGGCCATTGGGTCTTCCCCAGCCTCCACCTACACCCTGACATATGCAACAGCTCCTGCTTTTCGTCGCAAACAATTTCCTCAGTGTCCACTACTTGGCCTGCCCTGGGAGGTTGCTGACTGTCTCAGGGTACTAAGGGGTGCCTGCTCCTTTAAGGGCAGAAAATGCCTAGAGAGAGAGCCTTAGGAGCCAGGCAGAACCCCTGTAGGTGCAGGCTGCTGTGGTAGCAGGCTAAGGAGGGAATTAGCCTGCACCTGCACCTGGTCGGGTGACCAGACAAAGGCAGGGCTTTGAGCACATATAAATCCCAGGGCCATATGAGGAAAGGCTGAGGGACCTGGGCCTCTTTAGTCTAAAGAAGAGAAGGTTGAGAGGGGATTTGGTAGCGGCTTACCGCTATATCAGAGGAGTACATCAGGAGCTCAGTGAACAACTGTTCACTAGGGCACCCCTGGGGAAGACTAGGACCAATGGATACAAGCTCCTGGAAGGGCGCTTCAGGCTTAATACCAGGAAAAACACCTTCACAATCAGGGTGCAGGGTGTACAATAAACTCCCTCCAGAGGGTGGTGCAGTCACCTACCCTGGTGGTTTTCAAGAGGAGACTGGACAGTCACCTTGCTGGGGTCACTTGACCCCAGTTGTCTTCCTGCCTAGAGCAGGGGAGCTAGACCCGATGATCTGCAAGGTCCCTAACAATCTATGACTCTATGAGTGTAGACCCTATGTTATCGTTGTGTTGTAGCCCAGGGGCTTGTGTTTTCTGTTACTTAAACTGGTAGACAAGGCTAAGGCTATTGGGGAGGTCTCATTGGGGCACACTACAGTGTGGAGAACCCAGCGCCAGAGAGGGCACAGTGACAGGAGGCCAAGCAAGATGAAGGCCTCAAAAAGGGACAACGTTTAATTGCCACCTGCAAGGTAAATGGGAGACTTTGGAGCCACGCATCTAGCCCATAATGCTTGGGAGTATCATAAGGCACCTCTTGAGCGTGGGACGCAGTCAGGGGTCCAACAACCCACAGGGCTTAGAGAAGTCTGTCAGGACTGTGACCGAGCAGCAACCCAAGGGCAGTGTCTCAATTCATTATTTAAACCAGCAAGACGTGGTGGGAGAGATTAGTAGGTGCCCACAAGGCGGAGCTGGAATGGTCATGGGACCCTAGGGACATCATGGCCATCCCTGGGGAGGCCATATCATGACACAGACATACAACTGAGGCCTTTTTCCAGGCCTTTGCCCCCATTCTTGCCTGATTAGCAATGTTTAAAGATTATCTTTAGCCTTCTGTTTCCTTATCTGGGGTTATCCCAATCTCTTTCTTTGGTGTCTACCCCATTGAACCTAATTCCACCACTGCTCCTTGGGGCCCTCTTCACTTCCTACTGATTTTCCCTTTCAGGACTTCCTAATCCCTATCTCGGTCCCCTGACTGCCACTGGGATGGCTTTTGTTCCTGTGTGGTACTTAGCTCTTCCTTGAGGTTGGGTTTTGGGTGTGACTCTGCCTTTTCTAGGGTGTCTCCAGGTGTTCATCCCATCCTCCTCAACTCTGGCTTTCCAGCCTGTTTTCTGGCTATGGCTTCAGCCAATACGTCTCTTCTGGAGCATGTATCTGATTTACAGTGTGCCTGGGCTTGGCAGCCCTTGCTCTCCATTCTCTTGGTTTTGGGTATTTCACCTTCTGCATGCAGCCTCAGCAGAACCAGTCACTCCTCCTGCCTCTTGTTTTGGACTGCTTGTTCTTTTGCTCAGTTGTCATGTGCGCCCATTTCACTTCTGCCTGCTGGATACCATCTGCCACTATCAATATTCCAGCCTCTGGCCTGCTGGAAAGTTCTTCCAGTTTCTCTCTTAGTTGTTCCACCTTCTCCATATGCTGGCTTATCAGCTGGCCCCATTTCTGATCCAGGTACTCCAAGATCACTGGCAGGGCCTCTTCCCGTATGGGTATAAGCATGAATGCTGCATGCCTCCTGAGGCTGGGGGGGCATGGAGACCACCCACAGGCGGTGGTGGCATGGTGGCGGTGAGCGGGGAGCTTCTGCAGGTGGCCATGGTGGTGTTTTTCATAGATTCATAGATTCATAGATTAAGGGTTGGAAGGGACCTAGTAGATCTTCTAGCCAGACCCCCCGCCAGGG